AAATGATGAACTCAACTGAGGAATCTAGCTGGGGCGGACTGCAATGCCTGCCTTCTTGCCCACAATTACATCTCCATAGGCAGTAACAGTGTCTGTCTCCTCCAGCACTTTGGACAATGTTGGCATGTAGTAAGTTCTCAAGGATGACTGACCACTGCTAAAGCACACAAAATAACTATCCTGTTCTGAAGCTGTAAGCTTGCCATTGAACTAAATCTGTTTTCTCTGAAGTAGCCTTTATGTGTTTGGATGCAAGACTTTTTTTTGTCTTCATAAAGCATGTAGTTCTGCTTTCTCTGTTGAGCTTTTTCATCTGCCTCTGCTTTTAACAAGCCATGAGGCTGACTATAGGCTTAGGGAGGGCAGTGCAGGCTGGAGTACCCCAGCTTTGTAGACCCACCAATGCCTGGCTCTGCAGAAAACCAGGAGCTTGGCTGTAGCTCGGGTAGGGGTGCCATTCTCTGGAGAACTGACCTCCTCAGAGGTTCTGGCATGCTAGGAGAGAACGGACAGGCCCCTTTCCCTGAGCCAGAGTTTGTTCCGCTTGGGCTTCCTAAGTGCAGGCTGGGAAATGCGACTTATTATCCCTCATTAGAAGATCACTGTAATTTACAGGCCTTAGAATGAAGTTATGTGCTTGATGCACTTTTGAACTCATTACTGAGTAGATTGAATCATATCGAAATGCTGTTCCTGTAGCAGGTGTACTGCTGACTGGGAGCTCAGTCAGGGCCTTAGGTATGAAATGTCAGTCTGGCAATATTATTCCCTCTTCTTCTGTTGTTGCATTTCTTCCACACTTTGAAGCAGCTGTTCATATTTGTTTATAGAGTCCTTGGGGCTCACATCCAAAACCATGCTTAACTTCATGAAATTGCCATTTGTAAGGACACATTTTTTTTTTTTTGCCACTGCTAAAAATGAATGATCTTACATTTGTGACACCCACCAGCCAATCAGGAGTGATTATGCAAATTATCCCAACAAAGATGGTGGGTTAATTTGCATATGCAGGTGCCAAGTGGCTGAGGGCAAGGCAGGATGCTTGCATTGTCACCATGGCGATGATGCAGGTGTTCCATACCACCCCAGTCACTTTGGCCTCTGGGCAGCATGGGAAGGCAGAAAGGCAGCTCTGGGCCAGAGCGAAAAGGCTGCTCCCGTCCTAGTGAAGGCGGTGCCAGCAGCCAGGGGAAGGAAGGCCCATTCTTGCCTGAATATTCGTGCATCGAGCCTCTATTATGTAAGAAAATAGAACAGCTTAGGGTGGGAGAGATTGTGACTTTTTTGCCCCTTTCATTTGCTGCAGGTGATTAGAGGACATGGACTCCACTTACAGGGAGAAATGGCCTTGGACACTTGTGAGCTTGTGTAGTCTCTACTGATTAGCTGGACTTTCAATGTGGACTTTAAACTTAACCTCTGGTAAGAAGAAATCAGGAGCAGAAAATTACAAGAGTAACAAGGTGGAGCATACTGTTGCCACTGCTGGTGGCTGGCAGGGTGTATTGGTCAGCTACCGCTGACTGGATGCCTTAGACAACAGAAATTGATTGCCCCCAGTTCTGGAGAGCAGAAGTCTGATATGAAGGTATCATCATGGTTGGTTCCTTCTGAGGGCTGTGGTAGAGAATCTGTTTATACCTCTCTCCTGGCTTCTGGTGGCTTGTTAGCAATCTTTGGTGTTTGTTGACTTCTGCTGCATCACTCTGCCAACATAGCCACATGGCATTCTCCATGTGGATATATGTGTCTGTGCACAAATTTCCAAATTTTATAAGATACCAGTCATGATGAAACTGGTTTGGCTCAGTGGATAGAGCGTCAGTCTGCGGACTGAAGGATCCCAGGTTCGATTCCGGTCAAGGGCATGAACATTGGTTGTGGGCACATCCCCAGTGGGGGTGTGTGCAGGAGGCAGCTGGTCGATGTTTCTCTCTCATCGTCTATCCCTCTTCCTTCCTCTATGTGGTTAATCAATAAAATATATTAAAAAAAATACCAGTAATATTGTATTAGAAGCCCACCTTTGTGTCCTCATTTTAACTTGATTACTTCTGTAAAGATCTGTCTCCAAATAAAGTCACATTCTGACATACTGGGCTTAAGATTCCAACATAGCTTTTTTGGAAGGGTATAATTCAACCACATGAGATGATGTAATTCATGATGCATGAGCAGGTTGCCCAATAAGCCATTATTGGTATTTTTCTAAATAACTTCTCTAACAGTTGATGAAATCCAACATAGAATATGTGAAGTTCATTCCTCTATCAGGGACAGGTTGGCTTTTATCCACAGTAAGCTTTCAGTGACAATGTTGGCATTTGCTGGATTAGCATAGCATCATGTGCAAAGATATGCTTAATAAATGCTGTATTAATTAATTAATTAATTAATTAATAATTGAGTGCCTGCTTTGCATAAGGCACTGGGGAGTACATCACTTGTTATGGAATTTTAAAAAAAATATATTTTATTGATTTTGTACAGAGAGGAAGGGAGAGAGCTAGAGAGCCAGAAACATCGATGAGAGAGAGTCATCGATCAGCCGCCTCTTGCACACCCCCTACCGGGGATATGCCCACAACCAAGGTACATGCCCTTGACCGGAATCGAACTCAGGACCTTTCAGTCCCCAAGCCGACGCTCTATCCATTGAGCCAAACCAGTCTCGGCTGTTATGGAATTTGTAAGAGTTGGAAGAATCTCAAATGCAACTATCTTTTCATTTTGAAAAAAATTCTTATTCATTCATTTAGTAAACATTTATTGAGCACACATTTATGTACTAAGCATGTGCTAAATAATAGGGACACAAAGAAGATGGAAGAAACTTCGTAGTGAACAGTGGGGTACTCAGGCAGTGTTTGCCTGAGGAATTTATCCTAAAGACACATTATCAAGGCCCACGAAGCCTCACGTGAGAAAGTCTATTCTGAGGAAAAGCGGTGTCTGAGACTCATTTGGCCTCTAACTCTTGCTAGGTTTGAGTTCTCACACAGAGGGCAGGGAGTCACAAATAAGACTTAGAATAATTTTTACCAACATTTCAGTGATGAACACCAGAAATACTGCCTCTGTAAAGCAAATGACAATGAATAATTCAGGTCTTTTCATTTTTGGAGCTGACTGGATAAAGCCCAAAGCAAATGCTGAGGCTTGAGCAGAGGGTTGGGCCAGCAGGAAGCTATAACCGGATTGAAGCATTGGGCAAGAACATTGGTGTTGTCCTCTCGGGTGGCTTCCAGAGATAATCTGTGTGATAGTGTCACTGAACACTGTGGTGCTGTCAACAGCTTTCATGGAAGGGATGCAACAGCCACAGAAAGCACCATTTCTTAATCTAGGCAGGTTCAAAAGAGAGGGGAAATGATGGAAAATATAGGGTGACAGCCAGGGCTATCTGGGTGCCCTAGGGGGTTCCTGAGTTAGAAGGAATTTAAAGGGATTGGAGGATCCCCAAAGAGTATGTAGGGACAAGAGCTAAAGAACTACTAGTTTTTAATTTTATTTTAATCTTTATTGTTGAGATTATTGCAGATGTCCCTCTCCCCCTCCAATTGTCCTCCTCCATCCCATAATTGCCCTGCCCCAGGCCTTCACCACCCTGTTGTCTGTGTCCATAGGTAATGCTACTGGTAGAGTAGTCTTGTGTAGTGCGTGTTCTGTAGGCTCAGTGGCTCAGGATCCCCAGTCGCCTGAGCTGGGGTGCACCCCTTTGTGGACTGTGTGCACAATCTTGATGTAGTTGAGACTTGATTGCTGTTGGTGTCACTAGGAGGAATTGGCTGTGAGGACCAGCTGCGACTATAGTAGGAGAGCTGCTGTGCAGGAGACATTCCTATGCAGCAGGACTTGTTTGAGTGGGGCTTTGGTGCTCACTAAGTCTGTCCCTTGAGTGTGATGCTTGTGGGTGTGTAGAGTTGTAATCTGGTACGGTCTCACACTGACCACTGGGTACACTAGCTCTTGGGTCTCCAGGGAGATGCAAAGTCAGCCATTGCTTGGGGCTACCCAACAGTAGCTACAGAGAGATCTGCAGATTCCTCCTCTTTTTGTTGGGTTTAGAAGTGCCCAGAAGAGGCTCAGCTATGAAGCAAGGCAGCTGATGCTGGTGCTGGGTCTTGGGCCTTTTACTAGTATTGATAGACTTTGCACTCCCTAACTTAGCTGCAGCTTGTTTTGAGAGATTTTTACTCTGAATAAGGACAGGTAATTCACATGCAAAAGCCACTGCACACAGTTTGAGCAGCAGGGGTAGGGTGGGGGGATGAGGAGGTGAGGGGGTGGGGTGGGATGGGGAGTGGGGGCGTTTAAATGAGATGAGGCAGGGTCTCAGGGAATCACCAGGGTGGAGCAAACAGAAACGGCTGCCAGTTAGCCCTGTGGCAGGTTGGAAAGGTCCCATCATAGGAACAATGATTCCTCTGAGAACTTCCATCTGGGAGAAAGCCACCCCAGTGTTCCTGCCCCAATGCCAGACAATCCAGTGTTTCTTTATATGTGTCTGTGTCCCCCAGAGCCTTGCTCTCATGCTGGAGGTCAGAGGAAGCAGGCTCTTGTAAGTTCAGTTTATAGTGTTGGCCTTTTAGGGGGAACAGCTGGGTCTCCAATGACCTCTGTGTGACTGATCCCCAATCTGCACTGTTTTTCACAGCCTGTAGTTCTTATTGTCCATACAGACTTCTTTTCCAGCTCTGGAACCCTGGGCTGGGGGTCTGGTGTGGGGCTGGGACCTTTTGCTCTTCTGGGTGGCCTCTGCAGATACAATCTCCCTCCCGATTAAAAAAGCTACACGTTCTGTGCCTTGCACCTTCTACCGGTCACAGTGTGCTTTCTTCTTTACTTTTCTGGCTGGAGGACTTCCATCCAGCCAGCTTTCCAGTGGTTCTGGATGATGTTTGTTTTATAGTTTGGTTGCATTTTTTTTTTTCCTGCAAAAAGCTTTATTGTTTCATTTGGTCCAATGAATGGGAGAGGACTTCAAGGTGGTTAACACGTTAAGTGCCCAGTCAGTCACCGGTGTCTGACGCTATACTTTCCATCCAGAAGACAAAACAGGCTGGGCGCTTAATGTGTTAAAAGAATGACTAGAGTTTCAGGAAGAGGCTCAGGTAAAAGCCAGACACCAGAGGAATGCAGAGGGGGCTCTCAAAGGTTCCTCGTTGTGCTTGAGGGTGAATTTTAAAAAAATATATATTTTATTGATTTTTTACAGAGAGAAAGAGAGATGGATAGAGAGTTAGAAACATCGATGAGAGAGAGTCACCAATCAGCTGCCTCTTGAACACCCCTTACTGGGAATGTGCCCACAACCAGGTACATGCCCTTGACCGGAATTGAACTTGGGACCCTTCAGTCCACAGGCGGACGTTCTATCCACTGAGCCAAACTGGTTTTGGCGAGGGTGAACCTTTTGAAGAGATGCTGCCCGGTCCAGCCTGGGGCCGGCAGCCTGTGGATGTTAGTAAGGGGGTCGCCCATCTTTTTGGTGAGTTTCACCGCCTCACCCAGGAAGTGGTTCTCCAGGAAGTCACAGAGCTGAGGGGCTGCGCGGGTGGAACTCAGGGCCTGCAGCTCCACAAGGGCCTGGTGGCGGCTTCCGTGGCTCCTGAGTTTTGCCCCCTCATCTTGGGGAGGCTTCAGTGCTTAGGAGCCGCTCAGCGCCCTTAGCCTCTCTGCCAACTTGCAGAGGAGGTAGCGGTCTCTGAGAGCCACGTTGTCGCGGTGGAAATAGAAGCCCGGAGAGAGGTAGGTGTCGGAGCCGCAGATGCAGGTTGGCCAAGGCGGTTAACCGCAGCCTGTAACTTGGTGGAATAATTCTGACAAATTTGGGAGCTCATGGTTGTTCAGCAATAAGGAGTTAAGGTAGAGAAAAAAACCATGTGTTGGCTGGTCCAGGTGGTGGCTCTGAAGGTGATGACTGGATAAGATGCAGGAGAGTGGCCGGCGGCTGCAAGAAGAGGCGTCCCTGGGTCTGTTCCGTCCAAACACTGTTGAAGCAAGAGACAGATCCGAGACCACCGAGGACACTGCCTTTAGTTGTAATTTTGATGTGGTTGTGGGAGGCGGCGAGTACAGGCATGTACCTACGCCGCCATCTTCCCGAGATCTCAGAAATACTAGTTGTGACTGTTAATTTCACCTACTTTTCCTCCGACACTCCCGTGGGGGAAGTAGAGGTTACAGATAAATAAGATGTGGTCTCTTCCTCAGACAAGCAAATAGCAATACATCAGTTCAAAAGTCACCCCCCAGGTTGCCTCATCTACTTAATTCAGACTTGGCTCCTATTTTCATTTCAGATATTTGTTATCTGCTGGCTCCTCCCACTTCCATGTGGAGTTTTACCTAATTCTACCTTTTTGTCTAGTTCCATGAGAGTGAAGTCTCATTGACATATTAATATTTCCTCTAAACCCAGCCCCCTGAGTGGCCTTTTCTCCTGCAGCCCATGCCTGTGCTGTTTTGCTTGACGCAGGGTATTGAAAACTTGAATACTTTCTCTCTCCCCACAACCCCCAACCCCTGTTTGGGTAAGGAGGGCTTTAGGAACTTTAAGGATAGAGGAGACTTGGGAAGAATTTTGAAGGAAATGTTGTTTCTTTCCCCCCAGGGAAGTGGAATTAGAAAGCAGAAAGGCATAGACGCTTGAAACAGTTTGGCATGTCTTAAAGAGCCTGCACGTAGTCTGGTAAAAGCTTGGGGAACTTGTGGAAAAGTAATGTGATTAAGGTAGAAATATTGGGCATGGGCCAAATGATGAGAGGTTAAGAATATTGGCTCCTCTGAAGGCAAGCAGAGAACACTGACAGTATGTTTTTCATTTTTATTGGGAAATAATTGCCATACACCACTGTATAAGTTTAAGGCATACAGCATGACAGCTTGACTTATATATATATATTGTGAAATGATTACCACAGGAGGCTTAGCTAATGCCCATTTTTAAAATAGAGATACAGTAAAAAAAAATAATTAAAGAAAAAATTCTCCCCTTATGATGAGGATTGCATGGAGACTGGCTAGAAATATTCCTCTTGGTTTTTATTTCAAATCGTTATTGTCTGTTTTTATTTATGCGATTTTAAATAATAAATGCAATCATATCTTCAATTTTTGTGTGAGGCAAATCTCTGTTCATGCTCAGTTAAAGAGATGACACGGTCATGCTTGCTTTTATTTTAAAGCACCTGACTTTCCCCTTGAGATGATTCCTTTACAGATTTTGATAGTCTTACCTGTGGGTGGAGAGGGTGGGGTTAAGGAAAGAGGGTGCAAGGAACTTCCCAGCTGCATTAAAAAAGAAAAGGAGGCACCCTACTGTTTATTGTGCCAGTCTTTATTTAGTTTTGTGTATATTTAACACTGCATAATTAAAAATGGTTACTTGTAAACAGGAAAACATTAAAAATAAAAAAGTATATTGGCTAAACAATCTCAGTTATTATATTAATAGGTATGGCTTTAATTGGTTTATCCTGACAGACTCCTGCCTTCTTTTATCCACTTACTCATTCAACAAACACTGAACATTTACTGTACTATGTGATGGAGCTGTAAAGGAAAATAATGTGGATTAAGGCCCCATCAGATCTCCCAGGGATGGGGTAAACAAATATTAAAAAAATAATTATGTGATATTATGTCCAATGATACAATAGATATAAAAAATGTGCTACGGTAGCTAAAAGTGTGTGTGTTTTTGAGTGTCTGTGTGCACATATACCATAGCTAAGTATGTGAAGGCAGCCTTGGATGACTTAAGCAAGAGACTCAAAACATCTCTTTTCCTTAATTATATCAAAAGTATGCTCCCTGTGAGCCTTATGCTCTGCATTGGGATCTTATGGGAACTCTTTATCTTGAGGCCCCAATTATTGATGGTTGGAGATTTTATTTTTTTATTTATTTTATTTTTATTTTTATTTTTATTTTTATTTTTATTTTTAAAATATATTTTATTGATTTTTCACAGAGAGGAAGGGAGAGAGATAGAGAGCTAGAAACATCGATGAGAGTCATCGATCAGCTGCCTCTTGCACACCCCCAAGTGGGGATGTGCCCACAACCAAGGTACATGCCCTCGACTGGAATCGAACCCGGGACCTTTCAGTCCGCAGGCCGACGCTCTATCCACTGAGCCAAACAGGTCCCGGCAATGGGTGGAGATTTTAAATAGCACAGGTGGCTGGTCTTGTGTTCACAAACCTGTTTGCATGCCTCTGAGGCTTCTTTTTAGAAGCACCCTTTTGTAAATTTCTCTTCAGCCCAGGACCAATGGATGCTTTAGCTTAAGGAGGAAGGCTTTATTCAAGTCCAAGCTGACAGTAACTGCTATCCTGGGTTGTGTGAAGAGCCTGTATGAGCCTCAGTGATTGATTCCTGCCTGGCCCTGTTTCTATTTTTCCTCCTTTTACTCAAAAATACAGGGGCGTGGTAGTGGGGGAAGGAAGGGGACATCAGTTTATGGATTCAGTTAGACCTATTATACAATTTGGACATGAGTCCAAAACATTGTCTGGAGCATGTTCACTAGAAGAGGTAACACTTGGGGTTTTTATAGACGGCATTTGATGGTGATGAAAGAACTGACTTAGAATCTTGGTGTCACATTTATTCCCTAGAGGCAGAGCTGACCAAAGGACCGCAGTGAGGGGTGGTTAAATAGGATGAGTGCCCTGGGCCTACGATCCGAAGAACTGAATGAATATCCTACACATTTTTGTAATTGGGGATTACATTACAAAGCTCGCTCTCAAGAGGGCAGAGACAGGAAGGAATTGCTCAGAGACGGAATCAGAAAATACCCACTCCTGCTCCCCTAACACTATTTGTGTATTTTTATGATTTTCATTAGACTGGTGTATTTGTCTACCCTCCTACCACTGGAAATATTTCTTATCCCCTTTCCAGCAGTCCCCAGGTTAGACAGTGTTTTGGGACCTCATTAAGTGTCTAAGATTGAAGTTTGTGAGACACTTGACTAGAATAGTTATGGACAAGTAAAGTTGATAGTAATTTAAAACTTTTCCACTGCATAATAGTCAGGGCCGATATTTTATTCCTGGAAAGTATTCCAAACATTTATTAGCTTCTATTTTTCTTTACCTACTAATAATTTCCCAGTCTTCCCATAAAGACTATCGATTATACTTGACATTTTGTAGCTGTTAGGGAAATAACAGGTGATTATTCTTAACAACTTAATTTGATGAGTAGGTACCTTTTCTCACATACAATTGATGAAATTTGTTCAGCAGTCCCGAATTATACCTTCACAGTCAAAGTGCAATAATGTTAAGAGGAAAAAAGTATTTGAGCAAAAGCAATGAGAAAACGGTTTAATTAGTTTTTCCTAATTAATTAATTAATTAATTCATCCATTAAATAAATATTTATTGGGTAGCTATTATGTGTTAAGCACTGAGTGAAGTATTAGGGGTAAAATGATGAACAAACAGAAATCTTTGCCCTATAAAACTTACCTGATAGAAAAGACAGATATTGAATAAATAAATATCTACATTCATTATTACAAAATAATAAATGCTATAAAGAAAGTGTATAAAGTACTGGAAAACTTATAAACACAAGACTTGATTTAGCCTGCGAGTCAGAGAAGGATTCCTTGAGAAAGTGGTTTTTGAGATAAGATCTGTGGGAAAAAAAGGAGTTAAAGACACAAAGAAAATGGAGTGTGTCTTAGTCAACTGGGGCTCCTATAATAAATACTACAGACTGGGTGGCTTACGCAAGTTATTTCTCACATTTCTAGAGCTGGGAAGTCTAAGATGAAAGTGGTATCAGATTTGGGTGTGATTGGGGTCTACTTTCCAGATGGTAGATATCTGTCTTCTTGCTGTGTTCCCATATGAAAGAGAGCAGACACACACACACACACACACACACACACACACACACACAGAAAGAAAGAAAGAGAGAGATCACACTCTCATGTTTCTTCTTATAAGGACACGAGGCCCATTCATGAGCATCCTACCTCCTGATACCATCGCATTTGGAGTTTGAATTTCAACGTAAGACTTTTTTTTGACGGACACACAAACATTCTATAACAGATTTATGCAGCTTTGGGA